AGGTGGAAACGGGAGGGAGCAGGTGGGAACCTGTGGGTACAGGTGGGAACAGGTGGAAACGGGAGGGAGCAGGTGGGAACAGGAGGGAGCAGGTGGGAACACGTGGGTACAGGTGGGAACCGGCTAGCACATATCAGCTAGTCTGACTGCAGCAGCTCCTCATCAGAAGCTTTGAGACGGGCTGGACTGGAGAAGGTTGTGTTTTACAGGAGGAACCTGAAGTAAGCACAGCTCATCCTGACAGCTGTGACCAAAAAAAATGTCTACAGGCTCCGCCCCCTTGTGAAGTGCTGACATGCAGGAATTGGGACAGTAGTGATAACTAATGCAGCTCTGCAATGTTTCTGCGGAGAAATTATCCAAAAACTGCAGAAAACAGGAATAATCTGAGAACCGCAGCCGTTTCCTCATCGCAGGAGCGCCTTTTATCCGTCTGATTTAAACAATAAACTTTTACAATTCAAACAGACCATAAAAGAGCTGGTTTAAGTGAGGAGAGGATAGAAAATACAAATTAGAAAGACAAGATTATCTGAGGGAGGAAATAAAAAAAACAAAGGATTTCAGGGGAAAATGGATTCTGATCTTTTATAGCAGTTTCCTGATCGTTCCCCCCCTCCATGGATAAAGAAAGTGGACCAGGTTCCAGAGTGACACCCACCTGTAGTCAAACAGAAGACTTTAACTTTGGCGGGATGATTTCTGCAAACCACTTCCTGTCCTTCCTTAAAAGTCGTGTCTCCCAGGCGGCGTCCGTCTCCTCTGATGGCGTCCGTCCCCTCTGATGGCGTCCGTCTCCTCTGATGGCGTCCGTCNGTCCGTCTCCTCTGATGGCGTCCGTCCCCTCTGATGGCGTCCGTCTCCTCTGATGGCGTCCGTCTCCTCTGATGGCGTCGCTCCAGCCGTCTGTAATTATACGCTAGCAGTTTCCTGCTTAAATCTGAGGAACTGAACGATCGTTTCAACCAGAATGAGCTTCGATTCAGCGTCAGCAGACGGCGCCATGCGGCGCATTAAGCTAGGTCACCATCACTCCGCAGACGGGCTAAAGACCGTTAGAAAATACCTGGAATAAAAACCGGAATACAGAGCGAGGTTTGATAGGAAACCAGGCATCGTTAGTTTAAGCTTATTATGGAACCTTTTATATTCTATTACGTTTATTTCTATAGCTCCAATTCACATCATGTCATCTCAGGTCACTTTATAGATCCAGATCAACCAGATCATCTGGTCAGATTGATTCTATCTGATATTAACCAGACGTTAATCAGGAAACTTTACTCAGTGTTTTAATAAAGTTTTATTAGTTTTAGGTCAAACTTTCCTTTGGAGCGAAGCAGAACCAACATGTTCCTCTTGATCTTTTCTATATTTCTGTTATAATCAGATTTTTTCCCAACATTCAGGAAAGTTCTGGACTGAAGTCTGATCTGGATCCGTCTGACGGGAGGTTCTTCCCCCCAGGAGGGAAACTTAGCTTCACATTCGGATCTTTTGCTGCTCCTTCCAGAATTCCCCGACCCCCTCGGAAAGAGCCAGCTCTGCTAAGGCTCTGCACTCCCGCGGCGTAAACCCCACCAGGGCGGTGCCCTTCACCCCCACCCCCCTGCGCCCCGCCAGCTCAGCCACCCGGGCCGTGATGAGGGAAGCCGGGGCGTGGCGGTACGGCTCACCGTCTACCATAAAGGACGGCCAAGGCTGAGCCGTCAGGTGAGCGGGGGGGTCTCCCTTGATGCTCTCCACATTGCATGCGATTTCCACGGCCCCCTGGTGTGGCAGGGCCAACACCTGCACCCCGGGAACTCCCCCCGGCGCAGACTCCCTGATGGCGGCGGCGATGCTTCGGCCAAGCATGATGTCTTGGGTGTCGATGGTGATGTTGCAGTTCATGACGTAGGGGCTGGCTCCGACACCTGGGGGGTCAGATTTACGGGTCAGGGTTAGGTACGTCTGCTAAGGCTTTAATCTGCGCTCTACAACAGACCCATAAACAGGATGAACCAGTTTAAGGCAACTGGTCCCAGTTTCCGTCACCCACTGGTTAATAGTCGGTGGGCTGGTTGCTCTCTGTTTGTTTATGTTACTTTTATCTGACACCAAATAAGGAAGAACAGGATGATGTCATTGGTCAACATCACATTAGCTAATAACTCTACACCACTGGTATGGTATACTGGGAACCACTGAGGCCAGACGCCGTTTATCTGAGATATCCAGGATTTATCATCAGCAGAAACAAACCGGAGCGGCTCCGCTCTACCTCTGGTCGTGTTCTCATGGCGTCACCTGTAAGCCCGTATCGTTTCCGTGGCGGCGGCCCGACGTCGGGTCTGAGGGCCTCCCAGTCCGTGGTCTTCCTGAACCAGCCCATCTGCTTCCTCCTCAGCGCCAGGCCTCGCTGTAAGGGGCGGTCGGCCCAGCCGAACAGGAAGGCGCTGGCGCCGCTGACCGTCTCTGCGAGTCCGTGAGCCACAGCTATAAGGGGCGGGAAGAGCAGACGGTCTCTAACAGCCGGACAGGAAGCCGCCCGGGTTCTGAGACGTCCAACAGAACCTGGATCTGAAGCAGAACAGTGAAGGAAGACTCTGCTCACCCAGAGCCTGCTGGACGCACTCCTCCACTCCCACCGCCTCCCCCAGCGGGTAGATGGGGATCAGGTCCACGGCCCCCATGCAGGGGTGCACGCCCTCATGGGCGCTCATGTCTATGAGCGCGCACGCCCTCTGACACGCAGACAGGACGGCGTCCCCTGCAGACAGACGACCGTTAATCTGAAGCTGTGCAGCAGATCCTCATCAGGAGCCACTTACCGATGGAGCGGACAGACGCCACGATGGTGATGACGGAGCGGTTGTAGTCGTCATCGTTAAAGATGTTCAGGACCGTGGTTTCCTCCCGCTTGATGCCTGACGGAGAAAAAACACATAAACTCCAGAGCAGGACGGGTTCTGGTCTCTGGGTCAGAGGTCAGACCCGCTGGGCGGTCCGACTTTAGAACTGGACCGTTTCTGGACCCAAAGGTCTGTTTCTCACAAACACAGATTTAAGATTTTATGCTAATTAGCTCAGTTCAACTCATCTTTAGCTAGCTAAGTTAGCTTTGGCTAATCCACAGGAAATTAAACCGTTTGCTCATACTTACATAGATATAAATCAGATAGTTTACATTTAGTCAAGATAAACTAATTTAAAGTATTTAGTGACTTTTGGCTTAAATTAGCTTAGCTGGGATTAGCTTCAACTAACTAACCTGAATTTAGCCTCAATTAGCACAAAATAAATCAAGCTTGCTTAAACTTGGTTTAAATTGAGCGCGTTAAAATTAACTTATTTTAGGACAATTTAAATTTGAATAAATAATTCAGGATAAATGAAGCATAAATTATTTCCGTTTCATTTAGCTTAAATAAATATAGCCTAAATGAGCTAACTTTAATTTATCTCATTAAAATTGATTAAAGAAACATTTTAATAAAACATTTTTCTTTATACCAGCTTAGTTAATTAATTAGCCTAATTATATGTTCCAGCCGCAGTAATAAAGTCCATCGGCTGCAGCGCCCCCTAGAGTCGGACCTCCCACTGCAGCCAATTAAAAGCAGTGTCTGCATGAGGAAAGCACAGCTTTAAACAAAAGAGGCTCTAAGATCACAGATCTCTGTTTATTCGCTCCATTACAGACCAGCCGCCATATTGCATCCATTAATAAATAGATATTGAATGAATAGAGCAACACGCAGTCGGCATGTTGGCAGCCATCTTCCCTTTGAATGCTGCTCTGACATCAGAGGAAAATGCAACTCTATCAATAAAAGATGAATTCAGCTCATATCAGCTACGCTAAGCTAGTCTAAAATATTATGATTATATTCAACTTCAGCTAAATTTATTAAAGTAAATGAAGCTCATGAACAATATGAAATGTCCAATTATTAAACTAATAAAAATGGTCTAAATTTGTCTCATTTAAGCTAAGCTCAACTGTAAGATGCTAAACTAAAATAACAATAATTACAAAAAGAGAATATAATTTAATATCATTTACTAATAATAAAATAGCTTTTAATCAAACAGTTAAACAGCGATTTAACAATCAGCTCCAGCAGCTCATCTGCAACCAGAGCTTCACCGGCTCAGAAATAATGTTTCTGTCTTTAAATTATTTAATTAAGTTAAACGACATCACATCAAAATGACTTTGATAAAATTAACATTCCAACTGCTCGTCATCATCGATCTGCTCCGAGCAGTGCAGCCATTACACCGTTTCTCTGGAGTTTAGCAAAACTAGATGCTATAACATACTATAAAATACTATAAAATACTATAAAACACTATAAAATGCTGTAAAAATGTTATAAAATGTTG